CCATTCTGTTCCTCTAGAGAACCCTGACTAATACACCCTTCAGCAGAGGGACGATTGAAATTTATCATTTCATGCTCTTAGCAATGTATTTTGATGAGAAAATTTATAATTTTAATGCAATTCTATTTATTAACTTTTATGGATCTGCATGTTATTTTACAGTGTTGCATCTAGGAGCTTTCCTGGCTCAATCCTACAAAATTTCTTTCCTGGTCTCTTCTGGAAGTTTTACAGTGTCAGGTTGCACATTTAGGTTTACGATCTATCACGTAAGGATTGAGTTGGGTATTTTGGGTTTTTGGGTTTTTTTGTTTTTTTTTTTTTACTATTTCTCCCTTCTAGATACCCAATTACTCAGCTGCTTTGTAGAAGGGCATTCCTCTCAATGTTAACATTGAGTAGTTTTTGCACCTAAAGGGATTGTGACAGCTAGAGTATATATTGTGTATGAGTAGAACTCACAGAATCTTCTATAAATAGCTTTAAAACCACATATTCCCAGAGGAGATGGCTCAGTTGGCAAAGTGCCTGCCACTAAAGCATAAAATACAAGTCCAGCACACACATCTGCAACCCCAGCACACATATCTGCAACCCCAGCACTTGGGGGGAGTGCAGAGACAGGCAGATCCCTGAAATTCATTGGCCAGCCTAGCCGACCCAGTGAGCTTCAGGCTCAGTGAGAGACCCTGTCTCAAAAAATAAATGTGATGATCAGTGTTTTAGGGTTTTCATTGCTGTAAAGAGAAACCATGACCACTGTAACTCTTATAAAGAAAACAGTTAATTGGGGCAGCTCACGTAGTTTCAGAGGTTCAGTCCATTATCATCATGATGGGGAGCATGGCAGTGTACAGACAGATGTGGTGCTGGAGCTGAGAGTCCTACATCTTGCAGGCAACAGGAAGTTAACTGTCACACTGGGTGGGATCCTGAGCAAAGGAGACCTCAAAGCCCACCCCCACAGTGACACACTTCCTCCAACAAGGCCACATCCACTCCAACAAAGCCACACCTCCTAATAGTGCCATTCCCTGAGATTATGGGGGCTAATTACATTCAAACTACCACAAACAGTTAAGAAAAGATACCTGATATCGACCTCTGATCTCAATACGCATACACATGTGCACACATCAACACTAACAAGTATATAACACACACATGCATGAACACACACACATACACAGAGAGATATCATATAAAAAATAAATAAATAAAACCCACATCCCCATATTCTGGAAGTTTAGGTGGCCAGCAGAGCAGGATTCATACTAGGAAAGCTCTGAAGGCCTCATGGAAGGATTCTCCAAGCATGAGGAGAAGGAGTCCCCTCCCTGTTCTCAATGGTGTCCAAGAAAAAGAAAGCTCAGAGATTCAAGTCCCCTCAGTAGCCATGGCACTTGATATAGACACAAGTGTGAAAGAGTCCCGCACTCAGTACACTCAAGTCTTCAGATGAGCTCACCATGTTTTGTGAACACCCTGTTGTGAGCACCCAGGAGGCCACATTCAGGCTCTCTGCTTGGAGGCGATGATTAATTGATTAGGTGATTGTTCTCAATTTTATCCATCTAGACATTGTTTGCTGTGTGTAGAACGCAACTTATTTTGTAAACAGATTACTTAAACATCATTTGACAACAGTGCTTGCCCATTGGTGTTCTCCTTTGTGGTGTAATTATCACACCTTCTGTGGTGGTTAATCTTCATTGTCACCCTGATGAAGATTCAGAATCACCGTGGAAGCACACCTCTGGTTATGTCTCCGAGGGCATTTGCAGAAAGATTTATCTAGGCAGGACAGGAGAAGGGGGATCCCCACTCTGAAGGTGAATTTAAATGAAAAGGAGCCAGCTGAGTATCCACATTCATCTCTCTCTCTGCTTTCTGACCTTGGATGCAATTTGACCGGCTGTCTCAAGCTCCCGTGCTCATCCCTTCCCCACCGTGAAGCCAGAGTAGACTCATCCTTCATTTGCCTTTTCTGGGGATATTTTGGTACCAGCAATGATAAAAGTGATTAATACCCTTTCTGTCTGTGGTATTCAGAAGTGCTACCACCACAGACATGGTGAGCCAGGCACACCAACATGTATCTCACCCTGTACTATCTGCCATAGCTGCCCCAATGAAAAGGAGAAGTTGGTCCCATCTGCCAGAGTGTGAAAGCCTGCATGAGCTGGATGCAGTCCCATGAACATGTCAAGAGAAATGGGAGGCTCCCTCATGGTATGGAACTCCCACAAGCTAAATACCTTCCCAGTCTCCCCATCCACCTTCATGGGTCACCAGCCTGACACCCTTGTTCTTTGTGTCCCAGCAATGCCTTCTCAGTCCCCCGGAGCTGTCACTCAAAACCAGTCCCTTCATTCAGCCTCGTGACTAAGTCAACCACAGCCACAGAACCTCTCCTGCTTGGCTACTCACAGGTCACTGAGCCAAGACTTGGAGAAGCCAAGGTCTGACATCAGATGCTTGAAGTTCTACACCACTTCCCCTTCATCCCTAGAGTTAGTCCATCCCATTCTCAGGTACCAGGCCCAAAGAAGCATCATCCCCCAAAATGCATACTGGGAATCATGTAGAGGGCCCTTCTCATCAAACTGCCTCTGGTTATCCATTTATCCGTGGTTGCAGCTGCTGCAAATTCCACTCGCATCCCCTCACTTCCTCCAGACAATCCAAACTGTGCCACTTCCTGCCTGGGTACCTGCTACCACAGCCAGGCCACTTTATAGTCCACTCACTCTACCCACAGTGGCCCATATAACACCATGTAAACCTGTGGAGTTTCCAAACCCATCTCCAAATGGGTCTCACATAAATCTCCCCTTGCAACATCACCCTCCTAGTACGATGCTGCATTGATTCTTCTAGTTCTGAGAGCATCAATGTATTTGTCATTTCAGGGCCTCTGCAGCAGCAATCCCTCTGCTTGAAGGACCTTCCTACTGTCACCACACCACCCAAGGCCTAATCCTTGGGCATCTCAAAAGAATGAATGAAATTCCAGAAAGAATGAGACACTGACCTCCTGCTCCATAGAATGAGACACACTCCTCCAGCTCCAGCTCCAGTTTATCTCAGCCCTTATCATGTTCAGGAATTGCCTGATATGTCTACTATTTATCACCTATATGCCCATGGGGGCAAGAACCTGATAGATCATCATATTATGGACATTGCAAGATACACGTTCAGTAAACAAGTGGATGGCTGCCATCCCCCCTTGGGAATCTGAGCAAGGATGGTCAGACGTGCTGTTCCACCTTAGAATCAGTGACAGTTTCTCTCACTAACTGACTTGTACTGCCAGTGACCTCATCTCCCACAAAGGGTAGCAGGGCCTTAAGTACAATCTTGCAACAAAGTGGGGTCTGTGGTAACCCTTGGCACACTTTATGGGATCAGTAGCTGGCCCTGAGGCCAAACCCTATGTAACTGAAATGTTAAGAATTCCTCTGCCCTTTAGTAAACATACAGGGCTCTGGGAGAGGGGAGAGCTGTAGCTGGGGCAATGTCTTGATAGCTCACCCCAAGGTGTTTTCTGGAAACTACATCAAGTCATTCCAGGTCAATGGGGACTAGTTGGCCACTGCAGCACACTAGCCCAATGTGAGCAGCATTAAGATGCAGGTGACAGGGAGAGTCACACCTAGGAATGTATACAGTCCCACAGGGCTCCGGAGGACACTCTTGGGGAAGGAGTAAGCTAAGGCTATGCTTAACTAGTCATCAGCTGTTCTATCTTCAAACACCCAGGGTCGACCAGAGATGCCAATGAGCTTCAGAGGCACAGCTGTCATCCATGCCAAACATCCACATAAAGACAGTCACCCTCTCCATGGTGACCTAGACCCCCAGTCCCTCTGTCTGGTAGCTAGAGGAGTTAGTATCCATTATAGGGGTTGTAGGGAGGATGGGCGAAGTTGAGCAGGTCAGGCATATATGACTGTTACCTTCATTCCTGACACGTGGGACGGTGGACATTGCAGGACCTCCTGCCCTCTGACACTTTCAGGCCATCCAGCGGCCTAGTGGCCTCTGCAACCCTGGGGGTTTAGTACAGTGATTGACACTCCTGGAAAGGTGTTTGAAGTAAACAGATGTGGAAACTCTCAGCAACCCTTATAAGAAATTTAAATTAGATTTGGGAAGAAACAATGAAGAGTTTGACCCAAATGTGAAGAAAACGAAACCATCTCATCACAACCCGAGCATCTCTTCATTATTTTAATTACTAACTCATGTTCATTGTACAAATTAATGGGTTTCATGGTGACATTTCTATACATGTACATACCGTGTTTTGGTTGTTCTCATCCACCCTCTAATTCTCATTCCTTCCTTCCCCTCCCCCTGATCCCCTTTCTTAATAATCCATTTTTTATTTTCCAACCATTTATTTCTGCTTTTTTGTTTCTATGTATAACAAAAATTGTGATTTTTTTTTGTCTTTCTGAGTCTGGCTTATTTCACTTAACATAATGCTCTTCAGTTCTATCTGTTTGCCCACAAACATGATTCTGCTCTGTTTATGGCTGAATAATACTACACTTTGTATATATACCACATTTTCTTTATCTACTCACTCACTGATGGGAACCTAGAGCAGTCCCATAATCTGCCCCTTGGTAATAGTACTTCAATAAACATGGGAATGCAGGTATCTGTTTTGCATGCTGACTCCACTTCCTTCACATAAATATCCAGGAGTGGAACTGGATTACATGAGAATTCTGTTCCCAGTGTTTTGAGAAACTCCACACTAATGTCCACGGTGGTTAAACTGATTACATGCCCATCAGCAGTGTATAAGAGTTGCTTTTTCCCACATCCTCACCAGCATTTGTTGTTATTTGCTTTCTTGATGGTAGCCTTTCTGAGTGAAGTGACATGGATTCTTAATGTAATTTTGATTGGCAATCAACTGAAGGCTAATGGTATTGAGTATTTTTTATATATTTATTAGCCTTTTGTACTTTTTTATTAATCGTGTGTGTGTGTTTGTGTGTGTGTGTGTGTGTGTGTGTGTGTGTGTGTGTGTATACAAAGTGTGTACACCTTTGTACATAAGAGCGCAGGTGTGGGAGTCAGAGGGTTACCTCAGGGTTCTGTCCTCATCTTCCACTTTTTTCGAGACAGTCTCTCATCAGGGTTTACGTAGGTTCTGGGCAGTTGAACTCAGGCCCTCTTGTCTGCACACCCAGTGCTCCTTGCGCCATCTCTGAGCCATTTCTGCTGTCCCATTTGTATTTCTTCCTTTGATTAGCGTCTGTCTAGATCATTTGTTCATTGGTTGATTAGATTCCGTATTCTTTGATCGTTAACTTTCTGGGTTCTTGGTATATTTTGGATAGTAATCCCCTGTCAGATAGCAGAAAAGTATTTTCCCCAATATCTAAGATGTTTCTTCACTCTGTTTGTTTCCTTTGATGTTGAGGAGCTTTTAAACCTCCTGGAATCCTGTTTGACAGTTCTTGAGCTGGGACCCATTAAGTAAACAAAACTGACCTTGAATTTACAGCAGTTCTGCTTCGGCCTTTGGGGCATTGGGATTGCAAGTTTGAACCACCTTGTCATCCAGCGCTTTCTTACCAATCTCCACTATCTTACCCAGCAATTTTTATATCTTGCCATCTAGTGTATGACTCAGCGATTTGGTTCTAACTGATCCACCAAACAGAAAGTCAAACATATGCATGCACACACCCAGCCTGGTGCACCAAAAGGTCAGAGCAGTTTTATCTTAAGGGTCGAGACTCTGGCATCATCCAAACACCTATCAAGTAGTAGTCAATAGTAGCTGTGGTTTTCAGAATGGAGTACTGGTTAGGATGAAGAGCAAAGAGCTACAGGGCAAAGTGGCAGCACTAATAAATCTCCCAGCTGTGCAGATGAAAGAGGCAGATGCAAAGAAATGCACTCACCAGGCAGCAGGCTCTGTGAGGCTCAGGAAAAGTTAACGGACAATAGCAAAATGAAGACTGTGCTCTGTTGTTGGTTGGTCTTTAGTCTTTTGGGGGGACCCACCACCCAGCTCCCAAATTAATCACACATGGAGGCTTATTCTTAATTATGAATGCCCGGCCTCAGCTTGGCTTAGTTTCTTGCCAGTTTTCCTTAACTTATCCCATCTACCTTTTGCCTCTGGGCTTTTCCTGTTCTCTTACTTCTGTAAATCTTACTCTTACTCCATGGCTGGCTGTGTAGCTGGGTGACTGGCCCCTGGAGTCCTCCTCCTTCTCTGGCTGATCCAGCTCTCTTTCCAGATTTCTCCCTCTATATATTCTCTCTTTCTGCCAGCCCTGCCTATCCTTTCTCCTGCCTTGCTATTGGCCAGTTCTTTATTAGACCATCAGGTATTTTACACAGGCACAGTAACACAGCTTCACAGAGTTAAACAAATGCAACATAAAAGTAACACACCTTACAATATTCGACTACAGTGCTCACCAAGAGTCAGGAACCTTAAGCATAGAAAACCCAATGGTGTGACAGAGATCACATGACTGGTGGAAGATGCACAGAGCTGGGCACCTATAAAAGCTCAGTAGATGATGAGTTGGAAGAAGGGAATTGTTGCTATGTAAACTACGCCTCAATAGAGATAACTTTTTTAAAGATCAAAATAGTCTGGCCCCTTAATCTCAGGGCTTCAGAGGCAGAGGCAGGCTGGTTGCTATCAACTCAAAGCTAGCCTGGTTTATATAGTGATTTCTAGGACAGTCAGAGCTACATAAAGAGACTCTGTCTCAAAATGATGATGAGGAGGAGGAGGAGGATAATGATGGTGATGATGATGGTGATGATATGATGATGATGATGATGACATGAATTCACAGGGTTAGGCAGAGAAATGGTTCAGCAGGTAAAAGCACTTGACACAGAAGATTATGAATTGAGTTCAGTCCACCAAACCCATGTAAAAGGCTGGGTGTGCTAGCCTGCATCTGTAATTCTGGCACTTCTACTTCGAGATGGCAGGCGGAGACAGGAAGACCAGCTAGAAGCTCACCAGCCAGCTAGCCTGGAATATACAGCACAGTGGCAGAAACAAGAGAGGCCATGCTTCAACGAGGTGAAAAGTGAGGATTGACTCTTGAAATTTGTCCTGTGACCTCTGTCTATGCACCATGGCATGCATGTGCCTGCACTCACACATACACATAGCAAAAGTAATTAATTTGATTGCTAGATCAAATTTCTAAAATGACTTAACAATATGAAATCAGGCTTGGGGGATGCCTCAGTGGGTAGAGCATTTAATGCTGTGCAAGCCTGAGGAACTGAGTTCAAATGTCCACAGCCTAAGTAAAATATCCAGGTGCAGCGGCAAGTGCTTGGAATCCCAGCACCTCCAGAGGTATAACACTCAAGACTGACCTCTGGCCTGCACACACAGATACTTAACATACATATGCATCTATACACACAGAGCATGTGCCTACAAATAAATACACAAACACACATAAAAATAATGGAAAAGAAATTATTTTAAAGGTGATTGAGGACCCTGGTGTGTTTTGGCTCACATGGCTTAAGTCCTGATGTTGGATTATAAGTTAAAGCTAGAACATTTTCACTATTTATTGGTTCACTTATTGATTCTTATAAAATTACAATATAAAACCCATTTTAGGGTAACATTTTTATGACAAATAATTTTCCAAATTGAAAAAAAATACTATGGACAATATCTTGCTTGCAAATATATACAAGTCTCTTCCATTGGGGCTAAAGGCCTGAACCACCATACCCAGCTTGACTGAATTCCTTTTGTAAGTTGATTTCCATCAAGTATTATAGGCAAAGAAGAGGCATTGCCTATGCCCCTTTGCCTCCAGCTTCCTCTGAACTTGCAGCCAGATGCAGTGGGCTTCTCCTGGAGCATCCATAGCCCAGCCCCACTTGGCTCAGCAGGTTCCTGGTCCAGGATGCTCCTGCACTAGAGATGCAGGGCTATGAGACAGGCTGTCTTTGGGATGCTCTGCAGCTGAAGCTTGTTGTTGCCTTCCCAGTCTCTGACTTGTCTGTCACCATGGTTTCCAACACACCCTGGGCTAGAACTTCTTTCTCCCTTTCATATTTCTTTTCTAACAATGTGAATTGAAAGGCTAGGGGTGTTGTGCTAATGGTGTCATCTGAACTGAGGTGTGGACTTTAAGAGATGGTGGACCTCATGGTAGTCTCATTAATGTATTTATGGCCAATCTTTCATGGCATGCTATTCAAGTTGCCCTTAAATAATGTATTATTATTATTATTATTATTACTATTATTTATTACTATGTGTGTATGGTTGAAGAGGGCACATGAAACAACATATTATCTCTCCTTCCACTTTTTTGTGGGTTCTAGAGATTGAACTTGGATCATCAGGCAAGCACTTTACCTCTGAGGCATCTCATCCTTTCTCTGTCAAGTTTTGTCAACTTGACACAGACCTAGACTTATCTAGGAAGAGAGAACCTCAACTGAAGAATTACCTCCATCAGACTAGGCTTGTCTATGGGGCATTTTCTTGATTGCTAGTTGATGTAGGAGTGTCCAGCTGGCTGCAGACAGTGCCATCCTGGGCAGGTGGGCCTGGGATGGATAATAAAAGGAAGCTGAATGTGTGCCTAGGAATGAGACAGTAAGCAGTATCCCTTGTTCCTGCCTCCAGTTCCCGCCACAGCTTCCCCCATTGTTTAAGCACAGCAGCCTCGTGCAGACACACGCTTAGGGAAGGAAGGGTGTTACGGAGCCCTCCAACAGCTGTGGATGTTCCCTGACACATGACACGCCTCCCTGCAGACTGACTCAGTGAAGGTCATTGTAGACTTCAACACAGAATTAACGGACTACTCCTGCCCTATCTGTCTTGCACTTGTCTTAATCCCTTTGAGATGAGGACTGTGGCTTTGTGTTGACATACCAGGTCTGTTTTGAACTTGTTTTGTTTTGCTTAATGTTTGTTAACTCACCACTGATTTGGCCAGGAAAGTTACTGAGCATTGAGCAGCCTTCATATGTGCTGGGACAGACACCATTTATCCACAAGTCTAATTTTTGCCTGAAAGCTCAAAATCCATCATTGGCAACAAGAGCTGTTGGCTCTCTTCCTCAGAGTAACAAGTTCCCACTGCTCATTTGGAGAAAACATCTGACCACCAGGAAGCCTGGATTAAGACTTTCTCTGCCAGTCCCTCATTCAGATACAAATCATTAAGAAGAAAACCAGGGGACTAGGGAGATGGCTGTAGGAGCACTGATGACTCTTACAAAGGACTTAGTTTGAATTCCCAGAACCACATGGCAGCTCACGAACTCCAGTTCCAGGGAATCCAACACCCTCTCTGGCCTCCACTGTCACCAGGGACACATATGGTACACAGATATACATTCATGCAAAACATTCACACTAAAAAAAATAATCAAAGAAGAAGAAAACCAGCACATCTGTGCAGCCCAGCACTGCCCATCCTGCTCAGGGTCAGTGATGGCAGCACTGGCATGGATCTCACAGGCACAGAAGCTGCTGCATGCTCTTTCTCTTCTGCTGTGGGAACCACTAGCACTGTGTGTTGTCAAGGATTAAGACAAAAATTAGTCACTCTAATTGCTGCTGGCCTCTGGCCTCTGTGTTGTGTGTGTGGCTCTGAAGAGGATGACATGGAATTCCACAGCAGATGCTGCCTTGGTCCCACTTGGGCATCCATACTTTCCCATGGTGGTCTTTGCCCCGTTGGTCAGCAGCAGCAGCAATACTCATGGCAACAGCTATTTTCTAAGTGCTATAATGAGCAATTTTACTCCCTCCCCACTCCTTTCCACCTCTTTCTCCTTCCCCTCACCCCCCACCCATGCCAAGTTCATCAGTGAGTAGTGAGGGGTCTTAAGTCTCCCAAGAGCAAGAGATTGGAAATTCTATTTATTCCAACGACACTGTTCAAAGCTACCAGCTTTAAAACTACATTAGCACACCCAACAGATGTCCCTCTAGGAGAAACGTGGGTAGCCACAGGAAGTCAAAGGCTATAGCCACAGAAGCAGACTTCTCCAATACAGCATTTGTGGAGAGAGCAGTGTGTCATCCCTTCCCCTCACAACTGGATGCTTCATGGGCTCCTTCAGCTCCACACTCCCCTCCCTGATCCCTAGGCTCATGAAGATTTCGGCACCAATATCATGGTAGGGGCCAGCATATGTGGACCAGAGAGGGCCTTACCCTCCTACAGGAGCAGGTGGGAACCTCTGAGTCCTGGGAACTTTGTCCTTCAAAGTTACATGGGTCACCAGCTACAAGAAGTATTCCCTTGACCAGCCCCAAAAGTATACTGTTGCTGCTTTGACTGTCAACCATGACAACAACTGAGGTAGAAGAAGATGAGACACCTTGGCCACCTGGGCTACTCCTGTTCTCGGCATCTTTCTGACTGCCCAAACTGGGCATCTTCCATGAAGAAGAAGGCATTCTAGAGGCAGACAGTATAGGCAGCTAACAATCTAACTAGAATCCAGACTCTGAGGTCACTCTGTGCCTGTTACCCCCACCATAAAAGGGAGATGACCATAGGGCCTTCATCAGAGGGTGTATTTGACATTTTTCCAGCCAGTTCACTGAACTTCCACATCAGAGGAGCCGTTTCTCCTGGGTGGGGAGAAGCTTGTGGGTTTACTGCCCACAGATAGGTTCTCATTCTGAGACAGCAGCAGCTCCCTAGTCCCAGATTTTCTTATCTTTCCTTCAAGCCATGGCAGGAAAATAATGAGAAGCCAGAGAAATAAGAATGAGAAAAAGAAAGCCGTGTGTAGTTTAATCCCAGAACTCAGGGGCCAGAGGCAGGTAGATCTCTGTGAGTTCGAGGCCAGCAAGGTCACATAGTCCGTTCCATGACAGCCAGGCCTACATAAGTGAGATCCTGTCTCAAAAAACAACAAAAATGAAAGAAGACTGTTGAGATTTGGGATTGAAAACCAAACTGCCAGGCTGTTCTACAGATGCAGCTCAGATCCCTCCAGAGGCACACACCAAGGCAGAGTGCTGTGCGGAGACTGCAATGCAAAACCGTGGGCCAGAGAGGGCTGCAAATGCACAGTAAGCCCCACCAACTAAAGGAAAATCCCCACCCCAATCCCCCTTAAAGCCCAGGCCCCAACGTTCCTGGAAGTCACTTGTACAACTCTTGAAGGTTGTGGAAGAAAAAGTGGCTGGCCCCAGCCCCAGACAGCCTGTGACTGCAAAAACAAAAACGGATGCACAAACAAAAACAAACAGGCAACAGACCAACCCCTGCTGCTGCTGTTCTAAAGGCAACTTATCTAGAAAACAGCTTACTTCTCCTCTTCCGCCTCAGACAAAACCTGGCCCTCCTCCTCCTTCCTTAGCTATACCGCATGCACGCATGCATGCACACGCATGCACACGCACGCATACACACACACACACACACACACACACACACACACACACACACACACACACACTGTGTATTTTGCACTCTCTCAAATCCTGTTACAAAGTCAGTCTGCTCTTGTAGAGGTCAGTCTGAATTTTCATTTTTTATTTCCTCCTATGAACTTAATTCCTTACACCTACAGTTCTGACACATCCCTTCAAGACCCAGATTCAAGTTCAGTTTAGCAGAGCAAATCTAGAGACTACGGCCTCCTAGGACAGCAGAAGAGACCATTCCTGCAGAAGAAAGTAGAGGTTGGCCTGGATCCTTGACCTCTTCATTCTAGATTTCACCTGCTGCCTCCCAACCATCACTCCTCAGTGACATGCAGGCTTTCACTCTGTACAGAGCCCCAGGAGGGGATCCTTAGTCCACAGTGATATACAGACCCTCAGCCTCCCCCATGAGGGGACTCCCCAGCAAGAGGCTAGGAAAAATGACCCCAAAGACGGCACAGCATCTGCTAGGAGGCTGATCCTAGGTACCCAGTGTCACCCTTGGACAGACAGAGATGGACTATGCTTCTGAGAAGATGGGGTGGGAAGAGAAGGCAAAGGACACGTGGAAAGCAAGGGGAGCAGACCCTAGTAGGGTAATGAGGGATGGCAGAGTCGGAAGACAATCTCCTGAAAACCAAGCCATGATAAGCCCAGCTTACTGTCTACAACTCAGAGTCTAAGACAAGAGAGCAAGCACCCATGAACCAGCAGAGTTCAGAAAGCCCAAGTCACCAACAGGGTGAGGAATGGAACCAAAGACACAAATGCTGAATAAAATACACCAGCCCCAGCTGGGTCCTGGTTCAATGGAAAGATCCATAAACTATGGATCTGCTCTGGGGGTGATGTGAGTATGGCCGTCTATGATCTTATTTACTGTTAATTTTGTTATGGAGATTAACAGCATTCAGATTCCCCGGGAAGACACTGTCATCTTCAGAAGACACAGACAAAGATATATCTAGGAAAGAATTGCTCTGGGGGCCACTTTCAAACAGCTGGACAACAAGAAAAGTACATACTCGGACAAAAGAAGCAAAGATAGCTGTCTTAGGGTTTCTATTGTTGGAAAGAGACACTATGACCATGGCAACTCTTATCAAGGAAAACATTTAACTGGGGTGGCTTACAGTTTCAGAGGTTCAGTCCATTATTATCATGGTGGGACACAGTGGTATGCAGGCAGACATGGTGCTGGAGAAGTAGCTGAAAGTCCTACATCTTGCAGGCAACAGGAAGTGGTCTGAGACACTGGTGGCATCTTGAACATATATGAGAGCTCAAAGCCCACCTCCACAGTGACACACTTCCTCCAACAAGGCCACACCTATTCCAACAAAGCCACATCTCCCTATAGTGCCACTCCCTTTGGGGTCCATTTTCTTTCAAACCACCACAGTGCCCAAGCTTCACTTAGGTGGGATCTCCAGCCCTGCTTCTGCCTTGCCCAGGAGCCTGGAGTTTCTACTAGTGAAGGGCTGGAGCAAGAGCTGGCATTTCTTTTTTTCTTTTCTTTTTTTTTTTTTTTGAGACAAGGTTTCTCTGTGCCTTTCCTGGAACTCACTCTATAGTCCAGGCTGGCCTTGAACTCACAGAGATCCACCTACCTCTGCCTCCTGAGTGCTGGGATTAAAGGCGTGCGCCACCACCGCCCGGCTGAGCTGGTATTTCTTAAACACTGATTCTCCTCCTGACCACACAGACAAGGCCACTGTCAGTCTCACCAGAGAGTGAAGACTGGGATATGAACTGCACTGTGAATTACAGGGAGGGCTTCCAGAACATCTCTACCACAGCAGGAGACTCTGAGACCATCTCCACTCCCAGCAGCTATTCTGGACACTTGCTACCCAACCTCCCTCTATCCCATAGTGAAGCACAGCAGGGTCAGCATTCCCCAGAGCAACTCAGGACAGCCTGAGTGCTTACCAAAGGCAGGAAGCTGAAAGTACTTGATAGCTCAGCCCAGAGCTGGGCAGCAGCCTCCTTCCCTCTGAGACCATAGCAGACAGGCACATGAACTGCAGATCATGGGCAAATGAAGGGGGTCAAAGGTCAGAGAAGCCCCTCTAAATGGCAACAGGACAGGAGAGCCATGCCTGGAGTGGACAGTTATCCTGGGAAGGGTGTCAGAGCTCTAGCCTCATTCAAGCCCTGCTGTGTTGGAATAAGGAAAGGTAGGACAGAGTCTGTATGCTATGCTCCCCAGATGTCATAGTCACTGTCCTATTGCTGTAAAGGAACACCATGACCAAGGCAACTCTTAGAAAAGAAAGCATTTGATTGGAGGTTTGCTTACACTTTCAGAGAGTTGGTCCATTGTCCTCATGGTGGGGACATTGGCACCGTGGCATTCATGGCACTGGTGTGGGCTTTTGAAACAAGCCCACCCCCAGCACATACTGCCTCCAATAAGGTCACACCTAGTCCAACAAGACCACACCTCCTAATCCTTCTCAAATAGTGTCACTCCCTGATGACTAAGCATTCAAATGTATAGGCCTATTCAAATGTATAAGCCTATGGAGGCCATTCTTATTCAAACTACCACACCATGGAAGGTTCTGATATGGCCTTTAGAATAGGGACCAAATGCCTAGGATGTCTGTGACAGTGTCTCAGAGGAATGAAGTACTCCCCAGATCAATGCTGAGTCTTCAGTGTCTTAGCACCCACCTGATCCTTAGCAGGTGATCAGAAATTACCCAACGGCCAAGGATGGACTTCAGATGATAGAGGTGTAGGTACTTGATAAGTATTCACTGCATTGGGGGTGGTTGGCTGATGGCTCAGAGCTCCCCCAGCCCAGATCCCAGATGTACAATTGGCCTATGCAGTGTGGAGCCTCCAAGGAGCCTCACTGGATCCTGCTGCTGGTCCTGAGCCACAACTTCCAAGGCTGAGAGAGAGGAAAGGGAGAACATTGGCCCGGGACTGGAGGACACAGAGTCGTCCCTCTCCAGGGGCTACGTGAGGTCCACAAGACTTGGAAACTGGGCAGCATCAGCTGGACCAGTCTGTGGGCCCTGCCCTCCATCAGCTAGTCTCTGGAGAGCCCCTTTATCAGCCCTTCCCAGAGCTCTGAGGTACTCCTAAGGCAGCCCCACCCAGTGTTCAAATTCTCCTAATGAGAGCTGTTGGTTCCCAGGCATTGACAATGCTGCTGAGAGAGAATAGGAAATGACACTTGGTAATTGAGTCTCTTGGGACCTTGGTTCTGAATTCTTTTCTTCACAGGCTATTCTGCTCCTGTTAGAAGTTGAGGAAACCTCCTCTGCCATTCACAAGGCCAACACCCACATCTCTTGAGGTCCACACTTCAGTTCAGATGACGCCATTAGCACAACACCCCTAGCCTTTCAATTCACATTGTTAGAAAAGAAACATGAAAGGAAGAAAGAAGTTCAAGCCCAGGGTGTGTTGGAAACCATGGTGACAGACAAGTCAGAGATTGGGAAGGCAACAACAAGCTTCAACTGCAGAGCATCCCAAAGACAGCCTGTCTCATAGCCCTGCATCTCTAGTGCAGGAGCATCCTAGACCAGGAACCTGCTGAGCCAAGTGGGGCTGGGCTATGGATGCTCCAGGAGAAGCCCACTGTATCTGGCCATAAGTTCAGAGGAAGCTGGAGGCAAAGGGTCATGAGTAATGACACTGAACAAGGGCACATGTTCTTTGCCTATAATGCTTGGTGGAAATCAACTTACAAAGGGAACTCAGTCAAGTTGGGTATAGTGGTTCAGGCTTTTAGTTCCTAGGAGACACAGGTAAGAGGATCATGAGTTTGAGGTTATCCTGGGCTACATAACAAGATCCTGACTCAAGAATGCACAAAGAAAGAGTGAAAGTTAGCATCCAAGTCAATGGTAAATGTGACAGTTCTTTACAGTGATGAAGCATAAGAAGCTTCCACTTGGTGTCAGAGAGGAGCCAACGACACCATTTGTTCCATTGACTACAGCTAAATCCTCCACACAGCTGACAGAGCAGCAGCCCGAAGCCTGGTAAACACTGAAAACCTGCAACTGATGGCAAAGATAAAACACGGTGTATGCCACACAGCAGTGAATGCCCTGCCTTGCTTCCTCCCATCTCCTGGTTATTCTCAGGGTGGCCCAAATCCCCAGGTTACACAGTAAGTTCAGACAATAGAGACTCACAGCCTGAGACCAGATGGCCAGGGCTGCCATCCCTCTGCCATCATGCCCCAGGTAGAAATGCCAATCCCACGGGGTAGCGTAGACCAGAGTCACCACACTCTCTGAGGCACACCCAAGTGAGAGCATATTCAATATCACAGGGAGGTGGAAATGTTGGCTTTCTGGCCAGAGACCAGGTGGAGGGGCCTGAGAGAGTGTGCTATATCTCAAGAAAATGAAATAGGTCAGCATAAATCTAGCAAAATAAATAAAAGATCTATACGCCAAGAACTATAAAATTCTTGTGAAAGAAATCAAAGAAGACCTAAATAAATAGAAAAGCACACCACAGCCATGGCTTGGAACACCAAATTTAGTTAAGATGCCAACTTTCTCCAAAGTGACCTGTAAATTTAACACAACTCCAAATAAATTTCCAGCACTGCTTCCTGTAGACATACAGATCTTGCAGTTGTACTGATGCCATACTAAAATATGTATTATGGTAGAGCAAAATATTTTTGGAAAAAGAAAACAAAGTTGGCAGATGTGTGTTGTCAAATTCTGATTTACCACAAAGCCATAATGATTAAGATTACATCACATTGTGAAAGACACAGATCAGGGGCTGGAGAGATGGCTCAGAGGTTAAGAGCACTGGTTGCTCTCTTCCAGAGGTCTTGAGTTCAGTTCCCAGCAACCACATGGTGACTCACAACCACCTAGAATGAGATCCAGTATCTTCTTCTGGCATGCAGGCATACACTGTATATATAATAAATAAACAAATCTTAAAAAGAAAAAAAAAAGGCCAGGTGGTGGTGGTGCATGCCTTTAATCCCAGCACTCAGGAGGCAGAGCCAGGAGGATCTCTGTGAGTTTGAGGCCAGCCTGGTCTACAGAGCAAGATCCAGGCACCAAAACTACACAGAGAACCCCTGTCTCGAAAAACCAAAAAGAAAGAAAGAAAGAAAGAAAGAAAGAAAGAAAGAAAGAAAGAAAGAAAGAAAGAAGAAGGAAGGAAGGAAGGAAGGAAGGAAGGAAGGAAGGAAGGAAGGAAGGGAGGAAGGAAGGAAGGAAGGACAGAGAGACACAGATCAAACAGACCGGCACAGAGATGGTCAATTAATCTTGACAAAAGTGCAAAGCTGATACAATGGGAAAGGACAATCTTTTCAGCAGATGTTTCTGAAATAATTAGACCATCCACACACAAGAAAAACTATGGGACCCAACCTACTTTACACTTTATAAAAACCAAGGGCAGGAAAGATGACTCAGCAGGCGAAGGTGCCTATTGCCAAGACTGAGGATGTGCTCACACATGCATGTACACACACACACACACACACACACACACACATAAATGTAAAAATAAATAAAGCATCTAATTAGGCTATAGGCTTACATTAGAAACTATGAAAGTTTCAAAAGAACACAGGAGAAAAATATAATCTTTATGTTAGCAAACCGTTATTGAATGAGACCCCAAACTCCTAATCCCTACAAAGTTGATGAACAGTAGAACATAAAATTAGGAATATCTAACTTTTAAAGGGCATATAAGAGAGGCTGGAGATGCTCACTGGGTAACAGCACTGGCTTCTCTTCCAGAGGACCTAGGCTCAATTCCTTGCACCCACACACCATCTGTAACTCCAGGTCTATGAGGTCCAATGCCCTCTTCTGGCTTTTGTGGGCATCAGGCACACATGTGGTACAAATACATGCAGCCAGGCAAAACACTCATACACATAAAATAACAAAATAATAATTGAAAGGCACATAAGAGGAGAAAAAGACAAGTCACAGACTGCAAGAAATGTTCATACGTAGCACATCTGATAAAGGATTCAGTCATAAGAAATCCACCCACTGTTAGCTGGTGGTGGTGCATGCCTTTATTCCCAGCACTCAGGAGGCAGAGGCAGGCAGATTTCTGAGTTTGAGGCTAGCCTGATCTACAGAGCAAGTTCTAGGACAGCCAGGGAGGGCTACGCAGAGAAACCTTGTTTTTAAAAAAAAAAATGAAAGAAAAAGAAGAAATCTAGCCATCTAGCCACCCAGCTTTTTTTTCTCGTGTGTGTGTGTGTGTGTGTGTGTGTGTGTGTGTGTGTGTGTGTGTTAAGTACTTGCTAGTGTAGGTGTGTTCATATATAGGTATAGAGGTCAGAGTAGATATTGTATATCTTTTCTGGATAACTCTCCACTTTTATGTTTTGAGACAGGGTCTCTCACTAAGCTTGAAGCTCATCGACTTGGCTAGGCTGTCTGTCCAAAGAGTTTCAGGGAGTCTTCCTGTCTTCTCACCTCTCAAGTGCTGGGGTTACAGCCTGCGTTACACACCACCATGCCTAATCTTTTACACAGATTCTAGGGATCCGAACTTGGGCCCTCACATTTATGCAGCAGGCACTTTACCAATCAAGCCATCTCCGCAGACCACCTACCTACCTCTTCCTTAATGACAGAAGGGTTCCATAGACAACTTCCCAGAGAAGATGCACAGATAGCACCATAAATGCATGGGTGAGCCTGCTCTTTCCCTGGAACCCGCTGAGCCATATAGGCAGTGCCCGCCATGGCATCACTTCTTGGTCCCAATGTTTCTCAGGTCTGTCTCTGCTGGGAAACTCTTCCCAGCCGTCATGAGGGCCAGAGTCACAGTGAGTCAGGTTCACGAGTTGAGCTGTGCACAGCTTGGCATGCTCTTCAAAGCCTACAGCAGTGCTGCCCTCCTTGGCCTTTTCTCTGCGGATTTATGAACTTTGGTAAAGTGAGTTAGCAGGAAGGCCAAGTTTATAAAAGGCAGCTGGAGGACACAGGCTTTCTGAACCTGTCCCTTACTGTCACACACTTAGGGAAAGGCACCCTGGTAACAGCTCCTGGACACTCCTGTTCAATTTGGCTTCTCCCTGTCTCCACCATCAGCTGTCATAGAGACCTTTGCAGCAGGCTTGGGGACCTCAATCATAGTGTGCTCTGGTTTGGGCTCACTGTTCTCCATGAAGCCACCTGGGGGTGAGAAGCCAGGATCTGGCCAACCTTTTCTGTACTCAGTAAGCTCCCATCATCTCTGCCTAGACCATGGACAACCTGTAAACTCACACACACACACACACACACACACACACACACACACACACACACGCACACGCACGCACGCACGCACACAAACACACACACACACAACACATGCACACCACACCACACATACACACCACACACACACCACACACACACCACACACACACACACCACACACCACACACACACACACACACACTGCTGCAGCAGGGGCTGCCCCTCCTGCTAAGAGAAGCCACGACTTCTCCAGTCCCAGCCCTCTCTCACCTCTTCAGACCTGACATCTGGTATCGGTCTGCTCCTGGGCAGAGTCTACAGCTGGATGCGTGCAAGTAGCAGTGGTGTTGTCGTCATGAAGGTAGACGTGGTTGGCTTGTGGTCTCACAAGAATGGCGGACCCTGACCTGAGCTCCTTAGCTCTCAACACACTCACAAACCGGGAGCCTGCAAGGGGAAGACAGAGCCTGGAGGGGCAACATGCTTTCTGTGTGCTGTCCCTTTCACAGTGGTACGGCCCTATGGACACTCCACATCTTGGGTGTTTAACATTCCCCTGGCTGTGAACTGAGAACATGCTTATCCTAGGTAACCCTCCTGTCATCTCACTCCTGCCCTGGGCACTGAACTGGCATCGCCACTCACTGCATACCTCATGCTCTGATCTCTCTCTCTCACCTCACTCCCAGGTGGCACCTGCCATTAAAGGCATAGGGGCCCTATGATCATGCCGTTGGAGGACAGAGCTCAGTCATACAGGCTCAACACTGCGGCTGACTAGAAGTGACACCATCTCAGACTATGGGCTAACACAACCTCCTCTTCATGACATTTCTCAGCCTCATGACTCCCCCTGCCTCCTCTCAAGACTAGAACATGATGAGCTTGGGGCGTGCCTTGGCACTGTGTAACATTAGATCACAGCCAGCCATGGATGCTCACAGCCAGACAAAATGGACTGGCTGCCCACAGGGCAAGGTGGTATCTGGACACATGCTTGCACAGGCACTCTACTCCTACCCCTGTGTGGTACCCTGGGGCTCACTCAGCTATTTGCAAAATTGATGTTGGCTGGGACACACAATGCTTAATCTGTTTTGGTTGTCAAGCAGCCCCCCTGTAAGATCAAAGCTCAGTAACTTTGAACATGACCTCTGTGGTATGAGTGTGCATATTCTCTCAGCCATGTGGAGTGATCTTTGGGAGAACTCATCAGCCCGCACCAGGGACAGTTTACCCAATTCTGTCGTGTCCAGCTTTCCATGCTGTGTTCTAACACTTGTCAATCTCAGCTGACATAGTCATTTCCTTCCTGGAGTCCCCTTGAGATATAAAAACACATCAAGTTCAAGGCTCTGTGGTGTGAGCTGACCTCCCTTTATGAAGCCATTTATGAGAAGAGGCCAGTAAAGGCTCCACATACTATCTCACTTAAACCTCCAAAACAATTATTCTCCCCTTTTCCACCAGTGCCTTCACTGGAGTCCCCAGACTCAGCAAGGTTCTTGTCAAGGGTTGATCCTGGGGACCCCAACACTGCCTCCTACCCTAGGGAAAAAAAGTACCCACAACAGCAGGAGAGACCCTGAGAACTGGCCTCTAGGTCACTGTTGCCATCTGTGAAAACTACAGCTGTGTTTCCTGAAACTACCCCTTCCAGTCTAGAAACAGGCTGGTGTCGTCCATTACAGAAGGCAGAGGTGACACAGGGCGACTTCTGAACTGGGCCTCGTGACATGATATTGCTGCTATCTTGTTCAGCGGACCAGTCACACTTGAGCAACTGAGTAAAAGTGTCCCTCGTGTCCCTCCTATGACAGAACCCCGTGTGGCCCTTTGTCAAGCTTCAAGACTTCCCAGCAGCACAGGCGTCAGTCATGGTGCGGCAGAGACCTCCCATGCCCAGTGTTTCTGGTGAACCAGAAAGCATCCTAAAATAACGGCTACGGGTGTGGGCAATTTGTTACACAGCAGCTGCTACCGCCCCACTGCCTGCCACAGCGACTGTTGTGTCTTTCCTTCCGCGCCTGAGGGACGGTGCTTTGGATGAGAGGCTGGAGAAGTCATCTTAACAAGGTTTTGTTCTCTTGAGGCCAGCAGAGGCCAGCAGGGGGAGCCACCAAAGCTCGCAGCCTGGCCAGGACAGGCAGGTGAGTGGTCCTGTTCCACCGCGGCCACTGAAAGCCCCCATCTGAGCTTGAGTCAGTTCTCAGGCTGCTGGGTGACAACAGCCTCAGTGGGTTTCCTGCGATTCTCATCCTCTTTCCCCTCCTTCCCTGTGGCAGCCTTAGGCAGTTTCATATTGACAAGCTAAGTCTGTTTCTGAAAGTTAGGCCTTAATTCAGCGTGGGGAAGGGGGCGCTCGAAGCATTTAACATAGCAGCTTCAGCTGGCGCTCCATTTAGAGGACGCTTATTGTAATAACATGGAGATGTTTCTTCAAGGCTGTTTGACAGGCAATCTCTAGAGGCCATCTTCCCACATCAGTTTTTTTTCCCCTAGAAAAAAAAGATACATGGTAGTTATGTCTTTACTGTAGCAGAGGAAGATTTACTTTCTTAATAATGGAGACCCTGGTGCAGCTAGGCCTTGCAGCATGCTGCAGTTAATGTTTGTGTTTGTGGTGGTGTTCCATCGTGAGGGTTTAATTGACAACTTGAGATTTGCCATTGCACAGCCATGAAACATCTGGGAAGCTAGAGAGACACGTGTTTTTACAGCCTTAAGGCTACTCGCAATTTGATAAGCATAATAAGATATGGATGATCTAAATGCTTAAGCATTTAATTACTAGGAAATGGAAGATGTTTTGTTTTGTGTTGTGTAGTTTCTCCTTTCATAAGTTTTCATTTAAGCATCTGGGAACAGAAGCCAACTTTCTGTCTTTGCCTGGTTCCATTGTCGCCCGCTCCTTAGAAAGTAGTGCACGACACACTCCAGGAAAAACAGGATTCTGCCCTGTGCTTCCAAAGCCTGAGGCCTGGGGCAGCCTCCATGCTCACTATGGCCCCTGAGAGCATCCATGTCAGTACCACCTCCACCCTCCCTCTGGTTCTCCTCCTCCAGTCCCCCTCGATGGGGAGCCTCCCTCCTTAAAACCCCAGAGCAGCAATGATGTGACATGGCCAGTCAAAGGCCTCTACATGGTGGAAACAGGGCTGAACCACAACCAAGAGATGGCCGATGTGGGGAAGCCAGGCAGGCACTCTCTGGGTCCAGAGAGTAATAGCCAACCTTCTTCCCCACCAAGCACAAGCCTTGGCTTTACACTTGATTAACTGGGATATGAAATCCAACAGCAATGTAAGTTTTTAAATGTCTTTATATGTACATCCACAGACGTATCATTTGGCCCAAGTGCAGCTGTGTGTCTACAGCACAATACAGACGTCAAGTCTGCCTTTCTTTTCCCTACTGTCTTACACACCCACTTTTCCTTCCTGTCGCTTCTCCCTGCATCCCTCGCTGGCCTCTCACCTCCCCCAGGGAGCCCTTGGTAGAAGTGGCATATAAACTGTCACAGTCCTTCCACCATGAGTGTGTGACTATTCGGGCAGAAGCACATTTAGAGGGGCTTCTTCCCTGTTGATTCTAGGAAATAAGAACCAGGCCAGTACATTTTTCTGAGACTTACTTTTCTCTTCTAACAGCCTGTGTGGCATTCCATTCTTGGCGTTAGGGGATCTCTCTGTGCCAGTCTCTGCCCAGGATCCTGGGACAGACACCTGCTGCGGGCACAGGTTTTCATTCATTCATGCAGATTGCCAGCAGAGTTACCCACATCAGAGTGTGTCAGAGATGGTAACAGCCACCCCAGCCACCTCCAGCACCATCCTCGGCTCTCGGCAGGGCTGGGATGAACTCTGGCCCAAATGTCCAAGTGGCACACTCTTCCTTTATCCCAGAGTCTGAGACTTGTGAGCCTCACCAAACCTCCAGGAAGCTTCCAACTCTGACCACTGTAGTTCAATCGATCTTGACTGTCCACTTCGAGCTGGTGACTTTGGGTGTTGCCTGTGGCCTCCACTCTGGGCCTCCCTCCCAGGAAAGCCTCTTCTGGCACTTGCACTCATGACATTTGCTACCTGATGCTTTCCCAGGTGGAAGGAAAAGGGTGGTTCCAGAACCTCACTAGCTGCCAGTCACAGAGACACCCACTCCACTACCTGCTTGTCAGGTGACACTCTGGACCAACACTGGGCAGTGAGGGCCACTGAGAGAGCAATCCAGGCACAGAGAGGCTTGCCGGGTGTTGGGAACCAGGAAGGTGAAGACTTGGGAACTGTGATGGCCCATGGAGGAGGGCTATGGTTGTCAGTCAGAGCAGGCTGAAAGGAGAGAAGAAAGAAGGGGTGTGGCCCAGCAGTGACATTCTGACCTCCAGGCATACCTGCCCTGGCACAAAGGGATATCACAGAATGGCTGCTCTGCCACTGCCCACCCCTGAACAGCAGGTAAGGCAGCCATGAGTCCTCCTGACACAACCAGGAGTTTGGACCTATGACCCCAACACCACCCCATCACCCTGACCCATTCCAGGGAGGTTTTACATGCATGACCCTGAACCCTGCACTTATATCTAAATGTGTTATTCCCCCCCCCACCCCAGTGAAGTCAACAGGAGCAAGCATGGGCTGCTGGGGAAATCGCTACAGAGTCCAATATGGGGAGCAGGTAACACCCTTCTCCAGACATTAGTGTGGCTTCTGATGACTCACAGCAACACTGAATCTCACAGACAAAAACCTTGGGAAGACACTCAACAACATGGGGTCACCAGAGCTCATGATTCAGGCCACCAGAGGAGAGCCTGGTCTCGGTGGACCCTAGGTGCCTGGCACTGGATACTCACTCGACATCAGCTCAGAGCATAGGTGGAGAAGCTGCAGTGGAGATGTCACCCAGTCAGCTTTTGATGCATGTGGATGCATCCAAGCCACAAACAAGCCAGATGAAGTGGCTAGCCTGTACCCCAGTATAACAAGAGGCCCTGAGGCTTCTTCTTGTGTATCCTAAATACACAGCCTAGCACAGGCAGGAAGAGAAGGCATATGTCACCAAAACCTCTGGATTTTATGACAGGTGAGGTAATTCATCCCACTCCCAGTAGGGTTTGGAAGGGCTTCACACCTGCAGGGCCTCCTGCCACTGTCCAGCCCCATAGGGCTCTCGGGACAACTCCATGGTCACCTTGTTACCAAAGTGAGCCATGGTGATGTCTTCTCTTGGGTTAAAAACAATGCTGTCTGGTGTTAAAATATTTGGCATTGGAAGGTGTAAACTGGCACCAACCCCATCAGAAACCATGTTCTGCTTGGGCCCCTGTATACCTCCAGAAAATAGGATGAGGGACTTGAGAGATGGCTTGGCAGTTAAGAACACATGTTCCTCTGGTAGAGGATCCAGACTCAGTTTCCAGCACCCACACGGCAGCTCACAACCAGCAGAGACAAGAGAAGAGCCCCCCACCCCACCCCTGCCTCCCTGGTCAGAGAGAAAGACCAAAGGACAAACACATAAAACTTGTATAGAGTCAATACTCAGGACAGAAAGTGACCCTGAGCAAAGCTGACTGCATCAGCCCCTCTCTCCTTCCAAGCCTGCTCTGGCCAGTCCTGTGCTGGCCAGAGACGTCAAGCGTTCCTTGAAGCTTCCCAGGAACCAGTGCTGGAGACACAGCCTCAAGAGGCCAACGCCTCTCTTGGGAAGCAGGGATGTGAGTCAAGTACTTTCGAGATGTATATACTAAAGGGGTCAAGGGGCAGGCATGGAGGTACAGGCCTGTAATCCCAGCACTAGGGAGGTGGGGGCAGTAATATCTTCAGTTTGTGGTCAGCCTGAGCTACATACCAAAACCATGTCTAAAACACATTTTAAAAATAGTAATAAATAAAGCAAAATATAAACAATACAGGGGTTTGGGCAGATCCGTTGCTTTTTCACCTTTCTTCGGAAGTTGGGCACACTCCGGAAACCTGGATGCCACGCTGACTTCCAGCATGAGACAGCCAAGTGAAAAATCATAGACAGAGGGAGAGTGTCTTGTTGGGCCCAGAGACAGGATGAACTGAAGTAACTGAGCTACTTCTCCTCAGGCTCTAAGGACACCAGGGGATGTCTCAGCCAGCTGCTTCCAGCAGGACCTGTCCTGAGCAGGAGCAATAATACCTCTTAAAGCTAGATGCTACATTTTTCTACACATCTGGGTGCCTCAGGCCGCCCTCGCCTTCCTTCCCCATCTGGCACCTGGAGGTGTGGCAGGCTCAGGGGATGTTTTGGAAGACAGGCCTATTTACCACAGAAAGCACAGCCGGGCTTTCAGACATTCACGCTGCACACAAATGCTCAAACCACAGGGGAGGATCAATTAGGAATGTGTCTTGTACCTGAGAAAATGAGGGGGTGGAGGTAGCTGTCACTCTTGTTTTAGAACGAAGGATTCCTAGAGCAGAATCATGGGAAATGCCACCCCTGTGTAGGACAGGAAGGGGAGAGGGCAAAGCTTAGTGGTCACCTTCCTCTATATTGTGAGGTCAGGTTGTTCTAAGTACACCCCAAGAATTACACTATAGCAAATACAGGGATATTCTGGCCACTCTCGGGACCCCAGTGTCTGCACAGATTGCTCATGTAGATGCAGGGGTCTCAAAACACACTCACTTGGTCTGGAGAGATCGCTCAGTCGGTAAAGTGCTTACCACACAAGTGTGAGACCTGAGTTCAATACCCGGAACCCACATAAAAAAAAAACACGTGCTCTTGCATACCTGTATTTCTAGCACTAGAGAGGCAGAGGCAGGAGGAGCCCCGGGGCCTTCTGGCCAGCCTATTTAGCCAATTTGGTGAGCTGCAGGTCCCAGGAGAGACACTGTCTCATATAACAAAGAAGAGAACAATTAAAGAAGATATCTAATGTTAACCTCTGGCCTCCACATGCCTGCATGCATGCACACACACTCACACGCATGTGTGCATGCACATACACACACACCCCACATACCACACACGCACATGCACACAAACACACTAGCTCTAGACATTCCAAGATGGCCCGAGGATTTGGACTGTGCTTTGCAAGGGTGCCTAGAGAAGCAGCTCCTCCTGTCCCTGCTCTGCCCATCTTGGTGAGCCACCAGGGAAACAGCCACCTTAGCCAGCTCCAGTGGAGAACCAAGCGCACACCTTGCTGCAGAGAATGTCCAGGTTCTGGGCTGGGCAGCTTTGGCCATGGATAGCTTCAGCACTGTTATTTCAGGACCAGGCCACCCCAGTCTCCCTCTTCCCAAGTTACCCTTTCTCCTACTTGGGCTCCAGTTCTAGGGCTTTCCCTGTAAACATTGCCCTGGTTCTGGCAATGGCTTCTCACAGGGCTTTTGTTTTAATTATTTTTTCTATTGTGTGACCCAAAGTAACATGAGGAGGAAGGGGTTTATTTCATTATAGCTTACAGTTCATCATGAAGGGAAGTCAGGGCAGAAACTCAAAGCAGGAATCTGAAGGCCAGAACTGAAGCAGAGGCCCTAGAGGAATGCTCCTCACTGACTTGCTCTCCATGGTTTTCTTGAGTTGGTTTTTACTACAACTCAGGATCACCTTCCAAGGGATATCACTTCCCACAGTGGGATTGGCCATCTCACATCAAACATCAATCAAGAAAATGGCCCATAGATTTGCCTAACGGCCAGTCTGATGGAGATATGCCCTCACTTAAGGTTCCCCCTTCCCAGATGACTCTAGCTTGTATCAAGCTGACAAAAACCTAACCAACACAGCTTTCCATCCCTACTATATAAGACACCTGACCAGAGTGGAAACCACAGATAACTGGCCAGCCTGGGACTAGCTACCTTCTACCATACACCCCCACTGTGTCTGTGACCTAAGGCCCCTGGCATGGCTGCTGCCCTCAGCAGAAGAAGTATGAAATGAGTTTTCCTGGGAAGAAGTGGGGCTTGACACCTCCACACATTGAGCACTCAAGCTACATATAAGTCAGCCAATGGAAACAAGAGGAAACAGTTCTACTTCCCAACCTCAGATTACTGCCCACCTGGGGTGTTTGGTCTAACCTGATGACATGTGCCTCCCTAAAACAGGTGCTCTTGAGAAGCAGCAAGGGTCAAGACACGCTGGAATTACCTACCACTCATCCACTGCTCCTCACGAGCCCTTGTCTGAAGGACTGCCCACTGGTGAACCCCCAAAAGCCAGGCAACAGAAAGTGAAAATAAGCCCAGGCACCATGTGCTCATTCATGCCACAGTAGAGCATCTGCCTCCCTTTAAAGCTGCAGTGCCAGAGCCAGCAAGCAGCACAGAGCAAAGCTCAGGAGTGGCTGTCCTCTGCAGATACCCATCCTCACAGCCCTTCCCTTGCCAATGGGTGATTCTATTAAGCATTCCACATCTGGACAAACTCCAGCTGTGGCAGCTGAAGAATGAAGAAGCTGCACACAGAAGGACCCACTGGCTTAACTGATGTACATATTTACTCAGAAAGTTCTGGAAGACATGGTCCATCAAAATGAGGAATGAAGTCGGGGGGTTGGGGGGGCGGTCAGTGAAGTGTCAGACACGGGAGAGAAGAAAAAAAATTCCAGAAAGGTGGGGGTGGGGAACATCCTCAGCCAAGAGCCAGGTTGGAGCAGGAGCTGAAGAACTCAAAGAAGAAGCCTCAACTAAATAAAACACACATAGGCCTCACAAACACTTAGAGGGAGGCTCCAAAGAGCTTGGTTTCCCTGGGAGGCCACTGGCTGGGTAAGGATCTGAGACATTGTCTGTTGCCTTAGAATGTGGTGCAGCTTTTCTAAATATGCTTTGGTTTAAAAATTAAGGATAAATTTAAGTAGAATGGACTTGAGTCAAAACGGCAGGCAGGCTTGCTGTTGTGGCCTCAAGCCAGTGGCTGGATGGAATTTGAAAATGCTTTTACTGTGCTGCAGGACTCAACAAACGGGGCTTCGTGCAAAGCAATACAACATATGAGGATAAAGACGGGAAAGAGGCCATAAGAATCTTTCTGAGAGCTTTATAATGACAGAATGTTCTGCATCAAGAGAGCCCTGGACCCGACTACAAGGCATCCGCTCTTGTCTAAGGAACAGGGGACAAAATACAAGGAGGATGAATTCTACCTTGAGCCATATCTGAAAGACATTATTCAGGAAAGAAAAGGTAAGAATGGGCAAAGGAATCTCGTAGTTGAGATCTACGGGTGTGACTGGTCTCAGGTTATTCTTAGGAACTTGGTTCAACCTGAATCCCAGTTTGCTCTGCAGAAGTATTGTTTATATATCTATAAAGTAATATATATATATATATATATATATATATATATATATCTGTTGAAATCATTTTTAAAGTAAGATGGACATTCACAAGGACATCTATAAAGACGGTCACTATAGGGTTAGCAGTTTGTAAAAGGTAGCCTAAATACCCAATCACAGGCATAACCATGTGCATTTCACAATATCCTGGGGCAGGGAAGGGGTCTGTCCCAGGAGCCATTGTAACTTAAATATGCTTGTTATTGTTAGGATTTTGGAATCCCTTAAACAGAATCCATGGAAATCCTCTGGGTAGGGCTTCCCTCTCCCTGTCCCCTGCTTCATGGCACTTGTCATCTTCCCAGGGACAATTCTTAGACCTGAGATACTTACTGATCATTCCGCCCAGTCCCAAACATTGCATCCTTAAGGATAGGTTGATTGTGGGTCTTTGAACATCATGTGGGTCAGGATCCAACTTATAACTCACAGATCAGGAATGTCCATCCCCACTGAGCACCTGGAGGTCAGAGTCTCACAGCTGGTCACCAAATCTTGCTTTACACTCAGCTGGTGAGATTCCCCCAAATGCTGATGTCCTTACACAGAATCTGCCCTTGGCCCACAGCCCCACTCTGGAAACTGATCCTTAGATGGAAGGCCACATGTGCAATGAGACAACCACAGTCTTCCTACTGAGTGCTATGGATGACTTAAACCTCCACTTGACACACCACAGCAGCAGCTGTCTCTGGGGAGCTAGAGGCAAATTTCACCAGTCTCTTGGTATTTTCCTGGTCTCCATTTTTTATAATACGATACATGACTTCTGAAACTGAAAGCTATTTCTAAGGATATGTTCAATTTACATCCCTGAGAAACTGTCCCACAGTAGGAACCACCACCCCTAGGGGACCCTGAGAGAGAGTCCAGTCTCCTTCAGGGAAATTCTGGGGTTTGTGAGGTGTTGGAGAACTGGGTCTAGTCTTGGGCAAATGGAGAAAGGATCAGAAACCACCACCTCGGATCGAGGATGAAGCTCAGTTGGTAGAGTGCTTGCCTAGCATGTACGAAGACCTGTACTGCACCCTCCGCATCACTTAAACCAGGTGTAGTAATGCATGCCTGTAAGCATGGCACTCAGGAGTAGGCAGGAAGATCAGAAATTCAAGGTCATCCTGGGCTACAAAAGACCTGTCTCAAAAACTTAAAATTTACAAAGAACACCCACCACTGTCCCTCCCCACTGAGAGTAGAAAGCACTGGGCTTTACCAGCATCGAGGGTGTCCTGAAACAGACATGAAGTTCACTGTCCCTGACACTCCAGGACCCCATGGGACCCTGTCCCCAGCTCAGACTTTCACAGAGCCTAGGATAGACACAGGGCCCACAGGGACAAGTGTCTTTGATCTCCAACAGATAACAAATTGAAAGTGCATGTATCTTCCAGTAGCTACTCTGGAGAGTCTCAGAGCAGCCTGTGATCTGCATTAGGACACTGCCCCCTGTGGCCATTAGAGCAAACAGTACTGCTCCTCCTGCCTCCCTCAGTGGAGCTGGCCAGCCTCTGGGGAACCCTTCCTCCCAGAAATCCCCAAGGGCAGAGCTTCCTGTGTCCCACAGGGGCCAGGACAGGCCAGCCACTTTGTCCATGCAGGACACTTGCAAAGCCCCAGGAGCTTGAACACCAAGCACCATGCACCGTGCCTTCCCCCAGGACCTGCAGGGCTGAGGCAGATGTGGAAGGGAGATGCTGGGGTGGTGCAGCCTCACCCAGCACCCCACCCAAACACACACACACACACACACACACACACACACCACCCTCACCTTGCCTCCCCATAAGCAGTCCATGAATGGAAGTGGAGTACAGAGTGACTTTGTCAATTGACTAGTTAGTGAATTCCTACCCACACCCCACCCACGGGAATAGCCACCATAGTCAGGGAAGAAAGTTTCCCCGCTGGCCAACCTGAGAACCCCCTTCCTCTCCTATTTTCCCAGGTCTCTGAATGATCCTACCTCCCCTGTCACCTGACAGTAAAGTGCAAGCAAGTTTTAAATTCAAAAGAGATTTAAGAAACTGGCAACAGCATCCATGGACACAGTTCCTGCCCTACACTTCTGGGAATGAAGTAGCTACACAACAACAAAGTGACCGCAGGTTAGAGGTCAAGGTGAAGCTGGTGAAGAGGTGTGGTAGGAGAGTCAGGAGCTGGTGCCCTGAAATGTAAAAAGGAGGGCTTAGTCACTTTTTCTGTGACTGTAGACCTGTGCTCCAGGGTTAGCAAAAAGCCACCCTCGCTTGTTTGCCACTTTAAAACATCAAATGCCACACAGGTCACTCTGCATCCTAGGCCAGTACCCACTAAATGCTGGACAGTCATCTGAAGCCAAGCAAAATGAAGAGCCACTGTCCAAGCTGGAGGTACACAGCCCTACAGTGGCAGATGTCTTAACCCATGCTGGGGAAAGGCTCATATCAGAGGGCTTGCCTGTACCTGCCTGGGTTTCTGGGGGCCCTGCCTGCCATTCCAGGGCCTTCTGGGGCTGGGGCCTTCTGGGAAGCCATGAGTGTGGGCCTTCCTAGGTTCCTGTCGATAGGCACGCTCCAGCTGGAATGACACAAACACTGAGCTCTACCGGGATGGTACTCAGGGCAGACTGCAGCCCCTGACTGCAAGTCAGCTTTGACGCTCACACAAGGTACTGCTGTCCCACCCCAACCTGCCAGAAGCTCTGTGGCCAGCTGAGCCCTTTCCAACTGCCAGATCCTGGTGATATCTGAAAGAGACAACCAGACACTGCCAGTGAAGTCTAACCAATTACCCTCAGTGAGCTCAGGGGTCAGGAGAATGGGAATGACCTGGTAGGAGGCCATGGGTCTGCCTCTCACTCTGCAGGTGGTCTAGAGCAAGCTCAACTCATCTTGTTTGCGACAGTGAGGCTCAGCAAGGACACGGGAGCTGGAGATGATATGCTGAGAAGTCACCAAGGTCTGACCACTCGGGCCCTGGGCTCCAGGCCAAGGATCCCCATGTAAAGGTTTGGCAAGGAAGCAAGCCAGAGTGTGCAAAGGCTTTGTCAATTGTCAAGAACTAAATAAATGCTGGGGTTGTTTTTCTTGCCAAGTTACCCACCTGTGTTCTCTAATTGCCAAGTACTCCTGAGCAGAACAGATCTGGACACCGGGGCTCATTAGGAATTCCGGGCGATTCCATGTCTTTTGCTGACCTCTGCATTAATTCTTGCCCTGTTCTTCCCTCATTAAATCCTATTCCTGGGAGCTGATATTAGCTCCCTAGTCTCTCCCTTGATTAAATAATGACCAGGGATCACTCATTTTAGGTGTTCCCCACCTTCATGACACCACCAACCTGAGGCATCCCATCTTTGGATGTGTCTGTTGCTGTGGGTGCTGACTGACCTGGCAGATGTCACCAAATCACCTTTGGTCTCACTCCAGGCAGATGCCTCTCATGCCATTTTTTTTTTTTTTAAGCTTGCAGCTTTCACGGAGGAGGAAACTGCACTTCTATAAATAATTAGGTTGGGATTTGATCTTCCCTGCAGTTAAAGGACACTAATGAACCCATTCTGTCAGCAGAGTTCTCATCTTGAAGTTTGGGGTGGTTTGAGATGCCCCCACCGATAGCCATGGAGCCCTGTTCTGGGGTCTGCCTATAACCCTGCCTCTGCATTAGCCCCAGCTGGTCATCCAACTAGTGTTTAACAAGTCACCTTTCACAGTCCCTGGCCTGGCTTCTGAGTATTTCCTGACCTGGATTAGAAAAGCCAGCCCTAATTTCTTACAGGTACAAATACGAATAATTTACAAATGCAGTATTTGTAAATAATCAACAACCCAATTCAAATATGGGCAAAGGACCTGAGCATCTCATTTGGCAAAGAAGGTTGCACAAATGGTGAATGAGTACATGAGAGACATCCCAGACCACCAACCTCCAGAGAAACGCCCATCAAAACTACAGGGAAGTACCGCCTCCCACTGTAGATGGTCACAGTCAAAAGGTCGGACACAGCAAGTATGAATGCAGATGAAGAGAAAGTGAAACCTGTGTACTGCTGGGAAAGTATATGGTATGGCCAGTGTGGAAAACAACACAACCCTTCAGAAAATTACAAACAGGGCTTGGGAGGTGGCTCAGTGGGTAAAGTGTTTGCTGTGCAAACCTAAGAACCTGAGTTCAGATCCCCAGTGCCCACATAAAAAAAGTCAGTCACGGTACATATCTGTGATCCCAGGTGAGGAATTGGAGACAGAAGGATCCCTGAGGATTGAGGGCCAGCCAGTCTAGCCAATCAGTGAGAGACCTTGCCTCAAAAACTAAGGTGGGGTGCAATGGAGGACAACACGATGTCAGCCCCTGGCCTCTACACGTGCACATGTGAGCACGTGCACATGTACATATGCACACCCACCCCCAGCACACACACATTGAAAACACAACTACTTTATGTTCCAGAAAGTCTACTTCTGGTTAGACACCAAAAAAATTGAAAGTAGGACTAGGGGTGTTGCACAATTGTTAGAGCACTTGCTTGACTTAGATGAGGCCCTTGACTCAAATCCCCAGTTCTGAAGGAAAAAAAAGAATTGAAAACAGATTGAACCACTTTCTGTAAACCTTGTTAACAGCACTGTCATTCACAGCCCAAGTATCCATCAGTAGGTAAGTAACAGGCAAATAGATAAGGAATATGATGATTTGATCTGTTCAGATTGCCATAACAAAATGCCACAAATTCAGTAGCTTATAAACAGCAGCTCTGGAGGCTAAAATGTCCAAGGTCACGCCACCAACACATTCAACATCTGGTGGGCCTGCTGTCTGCCTCACGGGTGGCACTTTCTCACTCTGTCGTCCCATGGTGGAAGACACAAATGAGTTTTAAATGATGGGAGAGACCTCTTTTACAAGGGCACAAACCACATTCACGAGGCCTTGGTCCTTGTGGCCTAGCTGCCTCCTGAAGGCTCAATCTCTGAATACTAGTGCACTGGGGATCAGGTCTCAGGGTGACACCAACACTCAGGCCTATATATAACTGTATATACCCTGCCCTACCCACGCAATGTAGCATCAGGAGGCCTTAAAGAGGAACCTGGAAGATACAATGCTGAGTGACGTACACCAAAGAAAGGTAGTCTCCTCAACTACGACCATTGTTATTAAAAACCACCCGATGCCACTTAAGTTCCAGGAGTCCTAGGACCACACATGATGGCGTTCAAGTCCTGCCCTCACCGATACATGCCCTGTTGCTGCAAGGGCCTGGGAAGAGATGGCTCCAGACTTCTCAAAAAGCTAAGAACAAAGGCGGTCACGAGTCACCAGAGACTGGGGTGTTAGTCGGGCTTTTCCTGCTGTGACAAAGAACCTTAAGTAAACAGCTTGAGAGAAAAGATTGTTTGTACTCACAGCTTCAGAGGGTCAATCCACAGTCACTCGGATCCATTGTTTCTGGGCTGTGGTCAGACAGAGCCTCACGGTGGTCTGCATGGGGTGAAGCAGAGCAGCTCACCTCATGGTGGCCAGGAAAGAGAAATCAGAGAACCAAAGAGACCAAGGGCAAGCAAGGTACACCCTTCAAAGGCAAGCCCCAGCAAACCTCTTCCTCCAGCAGGCCCGACTTCCTAATGTATCCAGCTCTGAACTCAGTGTGTTCAACTCAGTGTGTTCATCCCGGATAAAATCTACACCCTCCTGAGGCAATCGCCTTTCAACAGCGCCACCTGCTGGTCACCGAGTCTTGGCAAATGTACCTGTTAGGAACACTATCCTCAAACCCTAACAATTGGACATAAAAATCAAACAAATGTGATATTAAATATACATCAGTGGAGATAACAGAAAGTTGGCTCATCAGAAGAATCAGAGGGATGGCCAAAGGGTGGACTTGCCATGACAGAGACGGTTGTCATTCAAATACTAGCCTCTCTGTGGTCCTTTAGGGCAGCGGATTTTCCCAGCATGCACAGTGGCAGTCTGGGTCTTCCTTAGGAGAAACCAGACCAGATATAAAGAGAGATCCACTCCAAGCCTCTCGCTAAAAATTGCACATTCCAATAGTACCCCTGCATACATATGGCCACTTCATTTTGATTCAAACAAATTACAGATAAATAAACTAGTCTTTAACCCGGTCTCAAGAGTCTTGTTTCAAGTCCTCAACAGCTGTGTAGGGCTAACAGCACATACTGAGCTGCACACAGAACTCTCCCAGCATGCAGTTCCTTCATGGGACCTTCCAGCTCCCTGGGATCATATGCTCCCAGCCTGTGTTTCAAGGCATCTGGAGAAGAGGTGGGTTCAGGTCTCCTCAGCAGTTCTAGGGCACTGAGGAGTCCCAAAGGCAGGAAGCAACACAGGAGGGTCACCCTCCTGCTCAGAGGCAGGCTCCTGGAATGTACCCACTTGGAAGCAGCAAACTGGGTCTCTACCATGTTGGTCTCCTGGAAAAGTGAAAGAAAGGCAAGTTCATAAGGCTGGCTAGAGAGAACAGCACTGGTGAGGAATCTCAGGTGACATAAATCCATGTTTAGTGATTAAACCACCAGTCTCACCCACATAAGGCCTACCATTGACCTTTCTCCTCCTAAAGCCTTCATAATTGCTTTTATTATTATGCCAGAATTTTATCTCAGTTGAAAGTTTCTCTTTTTTTGCACCCTATTAAAAGTGTTAATAAGCTGCAGTTAAGACCTTACCTCACAATTATGTTGAATAGGCTGAATAAATCAACACTGGTTCTTAGTCCATTTAAGGGGGAAAATTGAACTGCTGTGAACTTAAATATTTTAAAAGTCAGAGCTGATGAACATGTTAATGCTGTCCAAAATTAGCATGCTTAATTTATGGTGACAAACAGGAGGCCGTTCCCTGAAGAGCCCTGGGAGGAAGGACCACAAGAAGGCAGGAGCAGCCAGCAAAATGCATTTGGCAGAAGGCTTCTAGGAGCTTCCTGGTTCCCTGGTCCATGGTGTCTCCTTATTTCCACTCCAAATTCAGACGAGAAACCCCCTTTGTGTGTATGTGTGTAAGGTGGGAAGGGGGTGCCTCATGTAGCCCAGGCTAGTCTTGAGTTTGCTCTGTAGTCAAAGATGACCTTGAATGTCTGCTCCTCCTATGCCTGCTTCCAGAGTGCTGGAATGATAGTCACGGACCACCACACTAACCTGAGAAGCAGCATTTTGTTGTTGTTGTTTCGAGACAGGGTTTCTCTCTGTAGCTTTGGAGCCTGTCCTGGAACTCACTCTGTAGACCAGGCTGGCCTCGAACTCACAGAGATCCGCCTGCCTCTGCCTCCCAAGCGCTGGGATTAAAGGCGTGTGCCACCACGGCCTGGCGAGAGCTGGTGAGATGGCCCAGCAGGTAAGAAAGCTTCACAACAGGAAGACATGAGTTTGGATCCCAGTGACCATGCAAAAGGTCGAGCATGGCCAGGTGTGCAGCCTGTAACCCCAGCAGTTTGGGGGAGGAGGGTGGCAGAAGTAGGAAGACAGCTGGGGCTTACTGACAGTCAGCCTAAGAGTCAGTCAAAGGATTAACACAGAGAATGATAAAGCAGGACAGCTGACATCCTTCTCTGGCCTCTGCAGGAGTAGGCACACAGCTGCAGGGCACACCCATGCACACACATACATGTGCACATATACCACACATACAAATACCACAGGTACACACAACAACAACAACAACAACAATAATAATAATAATAATAATAAATAAAAGCCCCTGGCAGATGCTTGTGTGGGTAAGCTCCATGGAAGTCATGCAGCTCTGCACACTTCCTGCCAGCATTCTGCACAGCTCATCTCATTCTCAACCATTCTACCCCTGTCTTCCCCCTAATATGGTAGAGATGTGCCTTGAGAGTAACATCCAAATGGACTCCCAGACCAAAGGGCTAACATACTTGGCCTGCCACATCTTTAATGAAGAGATCCAAGGGCCGAAGTTGAAGAACGGGGGAGACTTAAGGGGTAAAGCGCTAGCTGTGCACTGAGTTCAGATCCCCAGCACCCATGTCAAAGCTGGGTATGGTGATGTACATCCATAATCCCAATGCAGGGCAGACAGAGATAGGAGGACCCCGGAGCTTGCTCTCTAATGCAGCTAAAATGGCGAGCTCTGGGTTTAGTGAGCAACATTGTCTGAAAAAATAAGGCAGAGAGTAATAGATGAAGACACTCAACATGAACCTCTGGCTTCTGTATGTGCACACACAAATGGGCAGGTACTTATGCACAGGTGTACACATAGGCATACATCGAGCTCACACACACATACGGGGAAAGAGAGAGAGAGAGAGAGAGAGAGAGAGAGAGAGAGAGAGAGAGAGAGAGAGAGAGAGACCATGGTTGGAGACTGGGTAAGTAGCCCAGCAGCAGAGAGCTTGCCTAGTGTGATGGTTAATCTTCACTGTCAAGTTGACTGGATTAGAATTACTTACACAGGGAACACAGCCCACGCTGTGTATGTAAGGGTGTTTCCAGAGAGGTCTGACTGAATGGCAAAACCCACCCTAAATGTGGGTTGTACCATCATATGACATTGGCTGGGGTCCCAGGCTGAATAAAAAGAAAGCTAGTCTAGGCATGGTGGCATATACCTTAAATCTTCACACTTGGGAGGCAGAGGCAAGAGGACCTCTGTGAATTTGAAACCAGCCTGGTCTACAGAGCAAGCTCCAGGCCAGCCAGGGCTCCAGAGTGAGACCTTGTCTCAAGAGGAGCAGGAGGAGGAGGAGCAGGAGGAGCAGCAAGAGGAGAAGAAGGAGGAAGAGGAGCAAGAGCAGGAGGAGGAGGAGGGGCAGAAGGAGGAGGAGCAGGAGGAGGAGGAGGACCAGGAGGAGGAAGAGGAGGAAGGCCAGGAGGAGGAGGAGGAGGACCAGGAGGAGGAGCAGGAGGAGAGGGAGAAAGGAATCTGAGCAGGAGCACTTGTCTCTCCTCTCCTTGACAGTAAGTGTAGTGTGGCCAGCTTCCTCATTCCTGCTGCCATGCCTTATCTGTCATGGTGAACTACACACCCAAACTGAGTAAAAATAAAGCCTGCCTTCCTTAGGTTGCTTTGTTCGGGCATTTTATCATAGCTATAAGAAAAGTAACCAAAAGCAACTAGCATATACAAGACCCTGGGTTTCAGCCCCAACACAGCACAAAAGGTCAGTCCAGGGTGTAGTAGCTCAGTGGAAGAGTGCTAACCTAGCCCCTGAGTGCTGTGGGATGATCCTTCTGTATGCTGTGAATATGTATGACTCATTGGTTAGTAACAAAGCTGTTTGACCTATGGCAAGGCAGGAGAAGGTTAAGTGGAACAATCACACTGGGGACTCAGACGAAGAGGGGCAGAGTCACGGGAGACACCAGTGAGCTACCCAAGAAGCAAGATGCTAGAGGACAGGTAAGGCCACGAGCCACATGACAATACATAGATGAATACAAATGGGTTAATTTAAATGTAAGAGCTAGTTAGTAATGAACTATGGCGGAACATTTTGTAATTAATATAAGCTTTTGTGTTTATTTGGGACCAAAAGGTCGGGACAGAAAACTCTGCCTCCGTTTATACTTGAAAACCCTGGAAGATTCCCCTTCACTACAAAAGCTGGCCCTAGGTTCCATCTCCAACACCAAGGAAAAACTAAATAAATCAGAGTGGCTGGCTCCAGGCTGGGGGATAAGGAATACCAGGCACAGGCCTGCCCAGGGGTGGGTGCCACACCCAACTGGTAAGGCTTTCTAACCCTGAGCAACTTGCCTTAAGAGAATGGGAAGGTGTTGGGGGGAGGGGGGAACACAGACGATGACACCACATGCCCAATAAGAGGCCAGGGCTGTGGAGCTTCTGGACAGAGGAACAACTGGATACACTTTAACAGGCATCGGGGGTGTGGCCTGAAGTTGACACTCATACAGAAAAATACAGCTTAGTTGTTTTCTTTGTAAATGTCAATATTTTGTGATACATAACAAAGTCCTTAATTCTGTCACTGGTTGATGGGGTCTCTGTTTAGTTTTGTTTATTTTGAAACAGTTTCAATATGTAGCCCAGGCTGGCCCGGAACTCACCATCCTCCTGCCTCAGCCTCCCAAGTGTTGAGATAAGGAACAGTATGAGCCACCATGCTAAAAATATGTGAACAAGTTCTTGTGGAGTAAAATCAGTGTTCTGAGAAGCTCATCATTTTTCTCCAGGACATTCTATATTTCTGAGACAATAGAACACAGAGCATCCACTCTGAGAGGTGTGACTAAGCTCTGCCCAGCAGGGGGAGTTAACGCACAAATTTCATTTCACAACAGTCCTAGAGGTGCCATTAAGAAGGCCCAGGAAGCTTCCACACCTGTACTGGATCTCTCATCCCTCCCTAAAGTGAGAGACAAACACCTCTGCCATCAACTACATGGCCCAAGAGCTATAAGGGAGGGAGTGGGAGAGGTGGGGCCTCTAGAAATCCTCTACCTCCGGCACAGGTCGGCCTGAGTCCGGTGTTGTCAGTTAATGAGAGTATGCAAAACTCTAGGCTGACATTCCACTTCAGTATTCTGTAAATGTATTCAAATTGCTTATGTATTGTTATTTATTTTATTTATGGAGTCTCGATTTTCCAAGTAAATTATTCTCCCCTGACTCTAATATATTAGTTTGAAATGACAAGTGTTGCAACATTCAACACAAAATGAGCTCTGAATTAAAGAGATGTGAATCTTCAGATGTGGGGATAGAAATGTCCAGAAAGCCATTTGAAGTATGCGTATTTAAAACGTCAAATAATGGAGAAGGTTAGTGGAATTTAATGAGTTATAGCCTCATGTTTCTTAAAATAGTTTCTGTCACAGGAAGGCTGCTCAGACTGTAAAGTACCCAGGGAGGAGAGGGCCTTGTGTGCCCACACCATGAACACTGCCTATTTCTAGCTACAGGCTTTTCAACTGTTCACTGGCCACATTTAACCAAGGATAATTCAGGTGACCTGGCCAGTCACTCAAAAAGGTCTTGCTCAGTTCCCAGGACAGCCTCTGACCCAGGAATCCCAAAGGGTCTGCTCCTATGTTCTGAGACATTTGTAGCCCTGGAGAGACATGGGAACTTTAGATTCACTGATTGATGGCACACTACGCAACAGTTGGCCTGCCTGCGGTTATTGAGGGTCCCCAGAAGCATGCTGGAAAGAAATTTAAACAAATCAATCAGTCCACAACCAAGAGTAGGAAATCCATATGGGTTAGGACTCAATGACCAGGTGCTAAAGGGCCATAAAAAAAAAAGGTGGCCTGGAGCTTTTCAGTTCTGGCCTTAAGAGGACATTCATTCTTACTCAAGAATGTGTGAAACTCACCCAAGTTGGCCTTGCTGCCCTGAGGGACAAAATATCTGTGGCTTTTCAAAGCAGCCAGGACCACTGGCCAGTCATGGGGAGGCTAGGGTCTCCATGGTCCCTGATGTGTTCAAGTCCCCCAAAGTTCCCACATACAAGGCTGTCTCAAAATAATTTCCTGAGCAAATGATGGTGCCACACATGGCAGGCAGGCTGTATCAGACAAGTGTAGGACTGAGCAATCACTTTGCTCCTAGCTGATATAAGTACCATCCAGCCCAGGTCCCTAGCAGCACTGAGCAGAGATCTAAAGGACTGGGACCCATTCTGAACCAACAGCCAACATATTCTGCTGCAGCCAGGTCATCTCCTGCAGGCACTCCCCTAATGCCCCCTTTGAAATAGGAGGTTGTTCCAGGTTTGGAAACATTCAGCCCGAGGCCACAGAGGCAAGAAGCCTGTTTTCAGGAGCAGAGCTTCCTAGAGGCCAGGAGCATGGGCTAAGGACCAGGTGCCTGGGCTAGGCTCAGTGCTAGGGGAGGGAGACCCAGTGCACAATCCAATCCTGCAGATGAGAGCAGGGGGTCCCCACCACTCCGCCCAAAAGGAAGCTGTCCCTTGCTCTGGATCTTCCTTCTTTTTCCTTCTGTGTCTCTTAGGTGCTACAGTCTAGATAGTACTTACCCACTGTGGCCTCACCCTGGAATTGGTCATCTGGTGCTACCTCAGGCTGTAAGATGTCCCAAGCCCTCAGGACTCTTCAAGCCCACTTTTGGTCCTAATGAAGGATCCAGTCCTGCACCTGCAACTTTGCACCATGGAAGGCCCTGAGAACTATGGTTACACCTATAATTCTATCAATTACACCTGCAATGTGGTAAATCTGCTTTGTTTGACAGAGTCTGGTGTAACTCAAGGGCCTCAAACTCACTATGCATCGAGGATAGCTTTGAACTCCTGATCCTCCTGTTTCTACCTCTGAGTGCTGGGATAACAGATGTGCAACATCATGCCCGGTTTATGTGATATGATTATACTAAGCAAGCACTCTAGTAACTGAGCTACAGCATTGCCAATAGCTTCTTTTTACATGTCTATTATTTATACTCATGTGTATAAGTGCAAGTCTCTGCATGTGAATATGTACCTGAGTCCAGATGTCCATGGAAGCCAGATGCATTGGATCTTCTGGAGCTGGAGTTACAGGGCCTTGTGAGCTGCCAAGGCCCCCTCTTCCCATAGCTTCTTTCCTCTTAACCAACAGGTTCTCTAGCGCCAAGGTGAAAGAAAACTTCTAAGCCTTCTGTTACAAAGCCTTTTAGAAAACTCACTAGTGGCACATTTCTATCTATCTAGGAACTCTAGAGGAAACCTGATTCCTGTTAAGAAATGGAACCCAGACAGAATAGTTTAGCGTTTCCTTAGAGGTCACAGCAGTGGGGACTGGCAACGTAGTTCACTGTTCAGGGGTTCCCAGTTCAATTCCCAGTGCAGAACTATGTGCCCTTTCTGCAGCTGAGCAGAAAATCTCAGCACCCAACCAATCCAATGAGCAGTGAGCATCTTGCTTCCTTCTTTCTTACAGGGGACAGCCCAGTGACTTACACCTGAAACAACGGATGTTAAAGAGAGAAGATGGCGCTGGTGAAGAGGAAGAGGAAGACAAGCCCAAAAGTCTCAAGGAATCCCAACAGTGCTTATCTCACTTCAGGCCTCTTCTTGTTCATTTTACAAACAAATTAGTTAACAAAAAAAAAAAAAAATTGTTACCTTGGGGAAAAAAAAATCCCCTTAAAATGAGATACAAGAGCACCACCCTGTGGTAAGCCTCTTTCACTGTCTGTCTAGATGTTTCCTACCATGTTCTGTACTTTCCTTCTAACAAGGTCATGTGTATGAACACCTGCAGTAGCACCTGTAACCCAGAAGGTGCATGTGGCATCTGAAAAGGGGAGCCTCACTGAGGTAACCCTGCCACCCCAACCAAGGAAACTTGGTGAAGGTAGACTAGGGTGAGGGGTCTCAGAGGGGCTGACTCCCCCACGCACCCCACAAGAGGCAGGTGCCAAGCTTCAGGGCAAGCTTCATTCCTGGTACGCCACAGTCCTCAGTGGTGTAGGCCTGGTCTTCACCACCAACCCTGCAGTGTTGCGGCCCTGACCACTGATCTAGAAGGATGTGGGCAGATCCTAAAGGAGAGCTAGGGCTCCTGGGAAGCCTTTAGCTCCCACTGCTTCTGTGACTTCTGCACTAGAGAGGCCAGAACTTGATGCTGATTGGTATACTGGTGAGACCTGAGGACCTAGCTGGCCCTCGAAGGGACCCCACTAAAAACAACCAAGCCTGCAAAGTTGGACAAGGCCCAGAACAAAAAAGTAGTGGTGTGTTTTTGTTTTTTGTTTTTGTCAAAACAACATCATACTGTTTATTACAAGTGTGCCTTTTATCCCCACTGACAAAAGTCATTCAGATTCTGAACTGACACGCTGAGAATTAACATGTAATATAGTCATTAAACATAATAGCATCATTTTGGGGTCAGTAGTATTGTGTCCTTGTTGTTTCCCCAAGGTCTCAGCTTCATGAGTTAAAGTCTTGATGTCTCCCCAAGTTACTGGCTTCCTCTTCCTCTTAGAACGTCTCCTCTTGATGGGTTTGTCATCTACCTTCAGCTGCTTCATTTGTCCGGTGGTCTCCGGGGTGCTCTCCGGGGTGCTCTCCTGGTTGGATGCATCAGGACGGGAGCCACCTGGGACTTCGTTCGTTTTCTGTGGGCCACCAGGCACTGATGGAGCACCAGAAGGTCCTGAAGGCTCCATCACTTGGTAAGGATTATTCGGAGCAGAATGGGGTCCTGGCACAGGATATGATCCTGCAGGGGCAGGATATGATGCTGGTGGTCCCCAGGCTCCCGGTGGCACAGTGCCCCATGGAACAGGCGGTGCTCCTGACACTGGAGGAAGAGCAGTGGGATGTGGTCCTGGAGATGAATATGGCATATTAGGATGCTGTCCTCCTATTCCTGGTGCCCAAAGTCCAGAAGACATGGATCCCCGTGTACCTAAAGTACCAGCTGCAGCTGGATCTGCGGGTGCACCATACGGTTTCGGTAGCTCTGGAAAGGGTATATTTGGTGTAGCATAAGGCCCTGTGGGACCAGGGCCTCGTACAGCAGGGGCTGAATAAGGGCCACTAGGTTGGAGACATGAAGGTCCAGAAAGAAGAAGGGATGCTGGAGATTCTGGTGGTGGTCCAGTTGGAGGGATGGACGGATACATTCCTGTTGGTGCTGGTCCAAAAGATACAGCGGAGGGTGCTATACTTGGTGGGAGTCCAGACAGCACAGCAGGTGGAGCACTTAGGATACTCCGAGGGCCGGAGCCCGGCCAGCCTTGAGGAGCTTGGCCAGCTTTTGCATTGCTCACAGCAGAGGTTCTGGCAGCGGACTGTTCAGGTAGCACATACGCCAACAAAAACTCATCTGACATTTTCCCGGCAAGATCTGAACCTGTGGCATGACGCATAGTGGTGATGAATCCAAAGAGACAGGCAATGGAGAACCAGCCTGAGCAAGCTGACTGCTTAAGTCTGCTTCATAAAGGAAATCGTGCCCTAAACAAAACAAAACAACTGGTTGATTAGATCCAATTTTGAACCTTTAGTGGTCTGGCCACTTTTGCAAAATGAAAAAAAAAGGCCTGGGAAGACTCAAGTAGTAGAGACTGGGTGGTTGGGGACAGAGAAAAGAGGGGCCAGCATGCAGGGAATGGGGGTAAGGAGAGCATGTAAAGAGCAGCAGTGTGAAAAGAGATGGTTCTAGAAATGTTTCCACTGTTGTTTTTGGAAAACAGTCTTGTAAACTAATTTTAAAAGGGATAGTTGTATATTAGAAAAATTCTAGTAGACTGAAAATACCCAAATTGAGAAAGAACATTTACAAAAAACTAAAGTTGACTTCGTCTTTAATGGTGAGAAAATAGATTGTTTCTACTTGCAATCAGGCAGTACAAGGCTGGGGTGCCCATTTCACCACTCGGCCAGCATCAGAGAGAAGTCCCAGTTAATGGGAGACAAAGACTACAGAAAGGGAAAGACCATGGAGGTAGATGAACAAAGGCAACAAGTCTCTGTTCCAATTATTCGACTGTCTACGTGGAAAATTCCAATGAATGGACCACAACAAAAATACCTCCTGGAAGATATAAGTGATCACAGCCAGGCTGCAGGACAGAGTCACCACACAAAAGCCCATTTCTTTCCTGTGTACCAACCCCACAAGAGTGCATAAGCGGGCTGGAGAGATGGCTTAGCGGTTAAGGGCACTGGCTGCTCTTCCAGAGGTCCTGAGTTCAATTCCCAGCAACCACATGGTGGCTCACAACCATCCGTAATGAGATCTGGTGCCCTCTTCTGGCCTGTAGGCACACATGCAGGCAGAACACTGTATACATAATAAATAAGTAAGTCTGAAAAAAAAAAAAAAAGAGTACATAAGCACCAAAAGAATTAATATCAGAATTCCAGAATCATCAAAATAGAGCAAAGTCAAAGGATCGACACTACCTAACTTCAAATAAGTTCTCAGAGTGACAAAAAAAACAAGACAGTATTATACCTGGAATAAGTAAATAAATAAAAACAAAGGGATGGAATAGCTAGTCTAAAAACAGGCCCACACAAGTTTCAACAGATCTTTGACATGACAATGGTACAAAGAAAGTCTATTCCACAAAAGGTGCTGAAATACCCAGATGTCCACAAGCCAAAACAAGTAACTCAGACAAAGAGGACTCTTCTAAAAAAAGTAGCTCAAATGGATTACAGACCTAAAGGCAAGGCATAATAAAACACATATTACAAAAAAAAAAAAAAAAAAAAAAAAAAAATAGGCAAGACCTTTGTGACCTCAGGTTTGGCAATGAGTTTTTAGACACAATACCAAAACCAAAATTGTGGAAGAAAAACTGAGCTGGGTTTCTCTAAAATGTAAAGCTTCTACTACGTGGAAAATCTGTCAGATTGAAAGAAATGGTCTCAAAATATCCCTGGTAGGGCCGTCCAAGAGACTCCCCAAATACACAGTGTATTGCTGTTGTCCTTGGTTATCACCACTCCCCAGAAGTGGAACTTAAGTCCCTACTGCTAAAGATACCATGAACTGAAGATACCTGTTCAGAAACTAGGCCCAGAGACCCCTGAGCTAGAATTGACCTAAATGCCCCCTCCTTGAGGGCTAGCTCTCATGGTACAAGAAGACACCATGCAAACTTCCAAAGAAGGGAAGTTAACCAACAATCCGACCCAGCATGTCACAATAACCCTAAAGGTGCAGCAGTGGCACACATACCTTGACAGTAACCAACAGGTCTCTAACTGGACTTGAGACCCATTCAAAAACAAGGAAATGATGCCTGGTACTGGAAGCCTAGCTAACTACTCAAGCGCTAGTGAAGTTATAGATACTGGAGGAAAATCTATAATCACATATTTACTAAACTATCATAATCCCTAACAACAATTTAAACATTTGTCTGTCCTTATATCCATCATCAAGAAACTTCTCTTTGCAACAGACAGAAAACCACAACCAATCAAAATGCAGTTGTAGAGCCCCCCGCCAGTGGATACATGTACAAAACATTTCTGCACCCAAGGCACAGAGAACATTGTGGAAGAGGAGGCAGAAAGACTGTAAGAGCCAGATGACTAGGAACTTAGTTGGCTGTAAGAGTGTGTCTCCTGGTAATATCAGAAGCTACATCCATAAAGTCTCACCAACATGACTTCCCAAACACGAGCTAAACAAGGACAGAACCAATGGACAGCCGTAGTGGACAGAGAAAAGCCCACAAGGCCTCAACCCTACACAAGGAACTATAGGCAACTAAGGAAAGCTGGGAATGGGAGAGGCTGTCTTCCCTAGGGAAGGGCACACCAATTGGTTGTCCAGTGCCAAACGGTCAGCCCTGAAAACATATAAAAAGGTAGCATTATACAGACTGAACAGGTTATATTTAGGAATATTTGTATTTATACACACACACACATACACACACACACACACACACACACACACACACACACACACACATATATGCAATAACAATTAGTTAAAAAGGAGGCCATAAACTTGAAGAAGAGCGGGGAGGAGTACATGGGAGGGTTTGAGGGAGGAAAGGGAAAGGAGAAATGTTATAATTTTTATAATCTCAAAAATGAAATAAAAAAATATCCCTGGTAAAGAGCTAGTGTCAAAAAACACAGACGTACCCAGAGAAAGAGGGCTGGTTGGTATACTGGTCATCCAGCTACTGTAACCAATTGGCAGACTTCATGACTTTCAGCAACAGAAGTGTACTCTCCCTCAGCTCAGGATACCAGATGTTCACAACCAGCCTCACTGTGGGCTCGGCTAGGCACCTTCCAGAAATTCTAAGGTCCTTCCTTCTGCCTTCTAGCCATAGAGACAACTAGAGGACATCACTGCAGCGGCCCCCTCAGTCTCCATCTCATTTGCTCCTCTGTTTTTCTCCCTTTACCTCTACAACAAAATTACTTTCCACGCTATCGGGGGCTCCAGATAACCATGTTATCATCTCAAGACCCTCAACTAGGGACTGGAGAGATGGCTCAGCAGTTAACTGAACCCTTGCTGCCTACAAGCACTAGACACACAGGTGATACACAGACATAATGCAAACAAAATACCCATACACATAATAAAGAATTTTAAAAGCCTCTCAGCTTGATTATATCCAAAACATCATGTCCCAATGAGGCTTCACTCACAGTTTAGGGAATGGAAGCATAGATACATCAGCCTCAACAGTTAGCACGGGAAAGGGTTAGTCTAAGGAGAAATGGCATATGAGATCACAAGGAGGCATAAGGGGGCCTTAGGCCTCCTGGCTGGCTTCAGCATCTAGGTAAGGTTTAGAGAGGCTCTCACATTTCGAGAGGAATCATGGGAAGTTTCACTAAGAGTAGTATCAGACAGATGCTGGCATTTTTTGTTTGTTTTCGTTTTGATTTTTCTATGTGTAACCTTGTCTGTTCTGGAACTCACTCTATAGACCAACCTCTCCTCAAACTCTGAGATCTGCCTGCCTCTGCTGGGTTCTTATGATGACTCCTGCAGATGGTTGACAGAAGGGCTGAGGGGGACAGAGATCACTAAAGAAGAGTCAGCCGGACTTTCCAGCTCAGAGAGAAGCTAGGGCAGAAGCCGCCAGATCGAGTCTGTCTCCCAAAAGAACTTGTGGGCTTGGCTTCTGCCCTGGGAGAACCAAGACAGCTCAGACCTGAGAGCAGACATAGCCACGTGCTCAGACCAAAAGCCTTGGTCAGCCTAAGTTTCCTGCTCCACCAGTACAGGGGCACTATTGCTTCTCTTCTGAGTTGACACTTGATTTCTACATCAAAATAGTAATAAACCACAACGAGTACACGGGGTATGTTTTTCCAAGGACATGGGTCATGTTTATCAAAACTTCAGTCACAAACAAGATGTCTGGCTGAAGGCCAGATGGGTCTCCTATGAAGACCTGAGCCCAAAAGTCTCATCCTTGAGCCAGACACAGAACCATCAGGCATGCCTTAGAGACAGCCATCACATTTTCCCCAGAACCCCATAGGGCAGAGACCTGTTCTGCTTTATGAGGGTGACTGGGCCAGGTCTGTCAAGAAATGCAAACTTGTGTACACAAACACACACACACACACACACACACACACACACACACACACACACACACACACACACACCTGCCCTGTTTCCACTCACTGTTTCCTGCTCTCCTTTCTTCTTCCTCCCACTCCCCCATCTCTGGCAGCAGGTGAGAGACAAGGCCAAAGGTCAGGGACAGGGCATGTCTATGCATCCTAATGACCTCACCCCCACTCAAAAGGCTGATAAGAGGTTTCTGTCCAGGATTTTACAGTGGGTTTGTGAGTGTGTAAAGATTCTGTCAGCTTATAGGGGTAGGGCTCAGTTTCTGATCTCAAGAGATTTCTGCTCCCAGGATGCTTTTGTGAAAACAGAATTCCAATCACCTCCCCATCACCTTGGTCTTTTCCAGGACTTCCAAGGTAGGCACTGAGCGGCTTCCACTGTCTCAACCAGCAGAGGGCAGCAGCTCCCTGATGAAGAAAGCACCAGCTGCCAGCTTTGTACTTAGTGAAGCTCCTCCAAGAAGGGCTGGATCAGGCATCTGGTACTTCTATGGATATATATATATATATATATATATATAGTGTGTGTGTGTGTGTGTGTGTGTGTTGGACTAGGACCCATAAATGATTCCCACTTCTGCTAGGAACTGTCACTCCTAACTATTGATGATGAAGAAACTAGCTCAGAGAAGCATTGGTGGCACACATTTGTCAGTATATACCTGTGTGCACACCTGCGATCCCAGCATTAGGAATACAGAGGCAAGAAGGCCCAGGAGTTCAACATCATCCTGGACTACATAGAGACCAAGGTCAGACTGGCCCACATGAGACTTACAAGAAAGAGAGGGAGGGAGGTGAGTCTTCCAATCTGGTGGAGCAGAAGCTTTGGTTCCTGACTCTGTTGGGCTCCTGGCCTTGGCCACTAGGGTGACACCCTC